GCACGTTGTGTATCGATTTCAAAATCGATCTAACCAAAATATACAGACATCGATTCAAAATATTTTATGGCGAGGCGTAGGCCAAGTGAATCACAGAAGAAAAATCTTACGCTCTTATGACAATGGGGGTTTCATATGATGCTGATGCTGCTAGATGATTTTGAGATTGAGAAAGAAAATCGCACAACACAAAATGAAAAATTGCTCTTCGTACCTTAAGTAAAATAAAAAAAACATTTATTATTTGTAATTTTATATTATTAAAGTAAAAAAGGTACATAATTATTCACTAATCAACAATTGTATATCGTTTTATTATTGTTATATTGTTATATTCGCACTAGGAAAATCAGTGTTATAATATTAAAATCTTGGTCATGGAATAAAAAATCGGTACTTATTATAGAAATCGACAAATGGTACATAATTATACACCAATCAACAATTGTATATAATTATTCGCACTAGGAAAATCAGTCTTATAATATTAAAATCTTGGTCATGGAATAAAAAATCAGTAATTATTATAAAAATCAACAAATGGTACATAATTATCCACCAGTTAACAATTGTATATAATTATTAGCACTAGGTCTAGTCTTAAAATATTAAAATCTTGGTCTTTAACTAAAAATCAGTACTTAATATAGAAAACAACAATTAAAATATAATAAATTATAGGTCATCTTAGTCTTAAAATAATAAAAATCTTATGGAATAATAAAATATAAATGTTTCGCTGGCCAAAGCAAATTTTCTAATGTGGTAGAGCCATGCTGCAGTTATATTACGAGAGAGTAGTTGTAGCACGAATGGGTCGGCTCAACCGGGGAAGAACCACGTTCTCACAGAATACCAGCGTCAAATAGTAGCTTAATGCTTGCTGTGTTTCGTATGGTATGTGTAGAGAATCGGAGACCCTCTTTACTGGAAACGAGGCATTCCATCTAAGTCCTCACGGGTGAGAGCGCATCTGCATTTATATATAATGTAAGACGCGAAAAATTATAAAAAACATTATTTATAATTTATTTTTAATAAATAATAATCATTTCGTTATTTTCTTCTTTTTTTCTTTAAATGATCGTTTCAATTAAAGCACAACAGCCCGCTTTTATTGAGACAACTTAGTGATCGCACTTATTTTGTCCATATTTCTGGGACACTGTTTTCTACAGTGATCGTTCGCCTGTTCTCTAACCTCCCTGCAGGGAATCATAGACAGAGAATGAGAGGGAATCTAGCAAAGGCACTACTAAAATCTTCTGAAATCCACTAGGTCGCATTTTAAAATCGACTAATTTTTAGAGTAATATTTGAGCCATTTTGTGTATACGATTTGAAATAAATCTATAATTTGCATGTCTAACCAGGTGGTCATTCCATCTAGTTGGGGGTTGCTCTACACTTCACCTACCGGTACGAGGTTGCCACTCGAGACCCTTTTTTCCCATTTAGCATTTTAGCCCATTGTCTGGTTCTACTGATATTCTCATTTCTACATTTATCACGCAGAGAAACCCCGAGTATATCCCTCTCCATAGCTCGCTGAGCGACGTTGAGCGTCCTCATACGGCCAGCAGTGAAGGACCACGTCGCGGTTCCGTAGGTCATCATTGGCAACACACACTGGTTGTACAACTTAGTTTTCAGGTTTTGAGGTATACCTGACGAGAAGATGTATCGTAATCTCCCGAACGCTGCCCAGGCGAGTTAAATCCGTCGATTGACCACTCGGTCGATGTTGGACTTACCCGGTCGGACTATTTGTCCCAGGTAAACGTACTCGTCAACAACTTCGAGCTTAGTGCTCCCAACAACTACCGGCATAGGTGTGACATGGACATTGAACATGATCTTTGTTTTGTCCATGTTCGTCTTAAGAACTATCCGTTGGAAGGCACTATTGAGGCCATTGAACTTAGTGCTTAAGTCTTCCAGCGATTCTGCTATAAGGACTATATTGTCGGAATATCGAAGGTGAGTGATGTATTCGCTATTGATGTTAATACTGTATCCTTTCCAGTCCAGTAGCTTAAAAACGTCTTGCAATGCAGCGGTGAAGAATTTCGGGGAAATAACGTCACCCTATCTTACACCTCTCTGCAGTTGGACAGGTTTCGTACTCTGGTTCCGTACTCGGATAGCCATCGTAGCCCTACTGTACAAACACTTCAGCACTTCGATATACCGACAGTCAACTTGGCACCGCTGAAGAGACTGTAGCACCACCCAAGTTTCGACGGAATCAAAGGCTTTCTCATAGTCCACATACGCCAGCCAAAGTGGCAGATTGCACTCTTCGGACTTCTGTACAATTTGCCGAAGGGTTTGTATGTGGTCTATGTTTTTGTAATTCGAGCTGAAAGTTTTCGAGACCCTGGATTAGCGCACGAGGGGTCGGAGCGTTGAATTCACTAGACGAGACCTCTCCAACTTAACGTTTAAGTTCAGTGTGCATCTAACCATTCGGTGATCGCTGCCAGTTTACACCCTCGCGATCACTGAGACATCACTAAACATAATGATTTCTTATATTTACGCGAACACTACACATTGAAATAATACTAGTTTTTACGGATTTTATCGCGTATATTTAACTATAAATACCCGACGTTTCAAGCGCTTTACAGCACCCATGGTCACGTGGGGGACTGAGATGTTCAACGTCCAGATGTAATAGTTAACCGCGGTTACCATAGATTAAAATTTAACTTTTGTTCCGATCAACACAGTATGAACTTATGGTATCTTGAAGTCTTGCAGTTGTATGCTTGGGTTGGGATTTAATTTTATTTATATAGGATCCCAAGCAGATGGTACCACCCAGCCATCTTCTCTATTGAAATTAGGATGTTTTTTGATTTTAATAGCCTCGCAAATCATTCTTGGAAGGAATCGGTATTCTTAAGCGAGGATTTGTGGTCTATCAAATCTGATGTAGTGACGGGGGCGATCCTGTACGTGTTCACAGACTGCCTTCTGACTGACTTCCCTGAGCGTCGATTCTTCACATCAGCTATGAGCGCTCGAAAGGTCAGGTATTTATAGTTAAATATACGCGATAAAATCCGTAAAAACTATTATTATTTCAACATCACTGAACAGTTGGCGTCTGGTCGTCATATTTAAGTCAATCTCATTTTTGTCTAACCGGGACTCGACTAGGACTCGACTCTTTCTTCCAGAAGCAGCCCCACTTCCTGTGGGGCTGCTTCTGGAAGAAAGAGTTCATCATAAAGAGTCCCTATTTCTCCATAAGGTCGGCCGGCTGCTGGCCCCTACGGTTCCGTTGCCCTACTCCAAATTTCCCTAACTTCAGCTCACCGCTTTCTCTTGTGCCTAATTTTGCGTTTAAGTCTCACATCAACACCGTGTAGTGGGTTTTCGAATAATGCATGGCTCTAGAAATATCCTCATACATTTCCTCCACCTCCTCAGCGGGATGTGCCGTGGTTGGTGCGTAAACCTGTATGACCTTCAGCGAATACCGTTTGGTGATTCTGAGTACCAGGTACGTGACATACAACGTTGTTGACGAGAGACTTGTGGACGATAAATCCGACACCTCCTTGGGACAGATGGTCGCCCTCCAGGTGATAGAACAAGTTGCCGGACTCGAGGATTACCGTGTCCTCCCCCTCTCTTCGGACCTCGGATAATCCAATAATATGCAAGCGCAACTTGTCTACCTCTTCTTCCAACTCCAGTATCTTCTCGTCAGTCTTCAGGGTTCGTGCGGTATATATTGCCAGGTCGAGTCGTCGTAGGTGGAAACCGGACCTCCACTGGAGATTCTTAGCACCACCTGCCCCGCCGTTATCATGGTCGCCACCGTAGCTAGGAATAGCGGGGCCGCCGGGAACTGGGGGCTGTTTGCTTGCGTTGTTTCTCATGGGGGGATATTTGCCATAGTTGTACATATATCGGACCATAAACAATAATTAAAAAACAGCTGAAGGTACTCCGGGTTTAACAATGACATCGGGACGTCAGTCATCTCAGTCCCCCGCGACCATGGGTGCTGGAAAGCCACCGAAACGTCGGTAATTAAAAAAAAATAGTAAAATAAACGCGATAAAATCCGTAAAAGTAGTTTTAATCAATGTGTAGTGTTCGCGTAAATATAAGAAATCATTAGGATTAATTGATTAATGGGATTATTAGTGATAATGTAATATTATTTATTATCTACACGTTGATTTGTTAAGTTTCTAAATATTTTTACTATTATTACTAACATTTATTACGTTAGTACTCTTATTAGTTTGTGTTGCTGATGTTCGTAATTCAAATTCAGCCATTGATAATTTTTTTCTTTGACTAGTACCATGATTTTTGATTAAGCAGGATTTTGTAATAAATAGACCTGAGGACGATACGAGGTTATTTTGCACTGACTTTACAGATAACATTTCTAAGCGGACTGTATGAATTTACTACTATCGATACCTAGTTATAGGTAACATTGATTAGGTAAGTACTCGCTTTAAAAATTATTATTGGTGTTTATTAATAAATAAATTATAAATTATGTTTTTTATAATTTTAACTATTATAAATATTATAAATTATTACAAATATAATTTATTGATTTATTATTATTATTATTTTATTTATATTTCACCAATTTTTAATGTTTCTTTTTGTCAAAAATTACTTCTCAGATACTACTTACCGACGGCAGCGTGGCTATAAATTCTACTAATTTTCAGGGACATCGGGCTATGCTTTAGCACGTAGCGATCGTTCTCCTGTCTTCTAACCTCCAGGAACTATAAGAAGTACCATGGAGGTTAGAGAGAAGGAGAAAGGTCGCTGTAGAAAATAGTGTACAGAAATATTAACAAAATAAGTGAGACACTGCAATCGCTAAGTTAGTTAGTTCGTAATAAACATAATAATGCGCTTTACAAACAGAATTAAACTATATTCACTGAAGATTCGTTAAAAATGTTAGTGGGTTACTCAGGTTTTTTGTTGTGGCTAGTTTAATATCCATGGACGTAACGACAATAGTTCTAAATAAGGGTCGGTACAAATAGCAAAATATGTTTGCAAGATGTTTTGCTTTGTTATTTTTTACGGTCTTGGTCTTGGGTGGTGTTGGTTTTGAGTTTTATTTCTTAATAATTTGTAATGATTCTTAATCGTAATCGTAATTTTTAATGTTCTTTATCACATTATTATTGTTTTTTCCTTGATTATATTAATGGTTTAAATTAATACGTACAATTTTAGATCACCAACCGAAACTAACTTCGCTCGTGGAAGTCATAGAAGCCGAGGGAGGTACTGCAGGTGGAAGTGGACCATCTCAAGTTAGGAGGTATTTTAGATTTTTTGTATTTTATAAAAACTACTTTCGTATATTTTGTTTTTCTCATCTCATATAATATTTTTATACCTGATAGAGCCATGCTGCAGTTATATTAGTAGTACAGTTGTAGCACGAATAGATCGGCTCGACCGGGGAAAGACCACGCTCTCACAGAATACATTCATAAAATAGTAGCTTAATGCTGCTGTGTTTCATATGGTGAGTGTAGTGAACCGGAGACCCTTTTTAATAGAAAGGAGGCATTCTATCTTAGTCCTCACGGGTGACAACGCATCTGCATTTTGATTTGACTTACTAAAGTTACACCGACTTATTGACCTCACGACGGAACCATGACTTATAAATTCAAGAACTGGACTGACGAAAAGGCCAACGACAACTACGACCAGCAGACCTAAAATTGAGCATCGACATTTCTTAATCAAACCCGACTTTAAGCAAAGTCGCTGTTGGTTGTGTGCCCAGTGAAAAGTTACATCCAGAACGATTTGGAAGTGCCTGGAATGTAACAAAAACCTATGTATCGATGGTTGTTTTACGCAGTACCACATATAATTTATTATGTTTTATTTATTTATTTTAGTTTTCATTTAGTCCTTTTTTTGTAAATATATATTATATAATATAATTAATATGGTTTGTAATCAATTTTTAGTTTTAAATAAAATAATATTATTTGTAAAATATTTTTTTATTATTTCAATAAACTGTACATTATTTTATTATTGATGTGTTGATGTGATGATGTGAAAAAACTATGAGATTTTTTTACTACCTTTTTTAAAGTTGCGTAAATTACAAAGTATTTATGAAACCTTAAATAGGCGGCCATTTTGCTTACGCCACGCTTACGCTTGCCACGAGCGAGTCCAAATCACTCAAGGCATCGCGGTAAAATTACGAGGAGTAGGTGTTTTGTTTCGATTTATGTAATTACTTAACGCTAATTAATTTTATTTTATTTTTTTTTTATTTTTATTTTTATTTATTGAAACTAACAACTATCATGACAGGAATAACCTAATGCGACAGTGTAGTTCTTTTTTTTGCATAACAAAAAATGTAGAAATTAACTGTAACTAATTGTAAACAATCCCACCCTAGTAAATTCACTCAAGGAGCAATAGAATAGGTCAATGTCTTCAGCCATTCTATTAAGAATGCGTAACGTTCGCGTTAAAGGTGCTTTATCTAGTAAATTGGTTCGGGCGCGCGGAACGAAGAGCAGCCGCGGCCGCCGCCGTTTCCATACGTACCCGTCTGGAACACACAACCCAATCCGCGCCAATATGTCACTATTATATATTTTTCCCCTCAGTACTTTAAAAATATATAGGGCTAAGGCGAGGTCTCGTCTTACCCTTAACTCGTTGTAGCCAAACATACCCAGAATAAATAAGGTTGGGTACATTAATGGGTACATAGAGTATACCCCATAATGGCGCATATATAGGTATCTAATAAATTTATTTTGCACCCGTTCTAGCATTGTGCTATACCTTTTTTCATGTGGTGACCATATTACGGCGTTACACTCCAGATTACTTCTTACTAGTGTATTATACATAGTAACGATTAAATTAATGTTAGTAAAACCGTGAACTGTGCGAAGAATGAAGCCTAAGTTTCTATACGCTTTTTTGCAGCAATTGAGAATGTGTTCCCTAAATGATAATTCACTATTTAGCCGAACGCCCAGATCTTTAACTTCTTTAACTCTTACCATTGGCGAACCATCGACTTCATAGTTATATTCAATGGGCGTGCGCTTTCTAGTAAACGAAATGGTAACACACTTGGAGGTGTTAAATTGTAAACGGTTATTATTGCTCCATGCCACTACTCTGTTTACGTCCTGTTGTAGCTTTTCACAGTCTGACAATGTTTCTACGACACGATACAACTTGAGGTCGTCAGCAAAAAGAAGGCACCTAGATTGCTTAACTACCTCCGGCAAATCGTTAACCAGTAATAAAAACTGGAGTGGCCCTAAATTACTGCCCTGGCTTACTCCAGATTTTGTAATATATGGGTCCGACGTATAGCCGGCATATTCCACATACTGCTTTCTACCTGTCATATAGCCGGCAAATAATTTTAATAAATGTGGAGTGAAGCCAACTGCCGCTAACTTTTTTAGTAAGACGTCGTTATCCACTAAGTCAAACGCTTTTTTAAAGTCAAAGTAGGCGGCATCGACCTGCACCCCCTATCCACTGCGGGCACAACTTCAGCCATGTAGCTAAGAAGGTTGCTAGTAGTACTTTTCATTGGGCGAAACCCATGCTGTGCTTCCGAGAGCTGCTGATTCACCTGCACGAATATTTTGTCATACATGACCGACTCTAACACTTTAGCTGCTGATGAAAGCACGGCCACAGGTCGATATTCGTGTACTTGCGATCCTATTTTTCCTTTAGGAACCGGAACGACCCGTGTGGTTTTCCATCTATCGGGAAAAACAGCATTGTCCAGACATTTGGAATATATGTGCATTAACGGCTTAGTTAACACGAAACGGCAGTCCCTGAGAATATATGGTGGAATACCATCCGGTCCTGCGGACCTTTTTGGTTTCAACTTTTTTAAGGCACGTTGCACATCCTGAATACTCAGACTTTCTATATGCACCCGCGCAGCTGCGTTGGCACCACCAGCCGCTATTATTGCCTCGGTGACGCTTAGGTTGGGTTGTTCCGTCCTTTACACTGAATGGAAGTACTGAGCAAACTCTTCTACACATTGCTTACCACTCAATACTTGTCCATTTTTCAAAATTTGTTTTTTGTTTAGGCAGCCTCTTTTGGACCGTATGTAATTCCAAAAAGCTTTTGGATCTTTTACGAGATGGCTTTGGACGCGACGCTGATGTTGCTCCTGCGCGAGTTTTATCATTTTTTTAACTTTCGCTCGACACTTAGAAAATAATTCATAATCGTTTTGTGATTTAAACTATGGTGATCTGCTTTTAATTTTAACTCGCGTATTATCTCAGTTGTATACCACTCAGGATAAATATACTTTGACCTTACCTTACTCACTTTTTCCTAGGTACACAATTATCTAGTATCTTATTTATAGTACAATAAAAAAAACCAAGGCTTGCTTCTAAATCTAGACCATATATTGGAGACCAGTCTATTTCCTCTATAGTTTTATACAAGAGAGGAAAGTTAGCTTTGCTAAACTTCCAAGCGGGTCTCTCGTAGCATTCGCTGTCAATGGGGCCCTGCGCAGAAGAGGTTTCGTCTGCGGCGGATTGCAACCACACTATTACCTCAAGCGGGGGATGGTGCGCATCCACTGGCACAAGCTCCAAATCAGCCGCATACACCCTCACCGATTCCTCACCATCAAATGTACTTAACACTAAATCCAATTGTCGTTCATTACAATTTCCTATTCTATTGCTCTGAGAAAACTGACAGTATGTTACAAAATGTTCATAATAATTACGTATAGCAGTGGAGCATGAATACAAATTAAAATCTCCTAGCACTATGACTTTACTGTATTTACTACAACATTGCTCGATTATTTTAAATAATAACATATATTCGTTATCACAACTACCTGGTGGAATGTAAACAACGCATATGAAAAATATAAATCTTTCTCTTAAATATACCCTAGCACAAACCAGTTCAAATACGCGACAATCCATGTTGATGTCACTCGATATAGGTACAAACTGCAGTTCGAAGCGCGGTGTGGCCACTAGACAAGCGCCGCCTTGTTTCCGCCCGTCTACGCGATCGCATCTTAACATTTTGTATCCAGGTGGAATAACTTCAGAGTCTTGAATAGATTCACTAAAGCCGGTTTCCGTAATAGCAAACAAATCGGAACTCGAGCTAGCAACGGCCACCCAGAATTCATCTAATTTCGTTCTCAGTCCTCTTACGTTCTGGTAAAAAATTTCAATATTTCTCCTAAAGCTTTTTTGGTTTTTCGGTGTATCGACGAAACCACACCCATTCACAAAATTCAATATTTAATGCCCAATTCTCTGGTAAACATATCTTTTTATAGTGACTTTCTGGAACCCCTATTACAAACGAAGCATAATCCCGTTCAGTCTTATGTTTAATTTGTTCAACCTGAACTTGAACTTCAGCCCCACATATGTTTTTAACATGTGTTTCTATGCTTTCTCTCGTAGTGTCCTTCTTCAGTCGCCAGACATGTAAATATTTTTTACGTTCAGTACCTTGTATACCCGATAGACTCGTGTTACCTCCTCTTTTTACCTCACTATTAGGATACCTATTGTTTTTTCTTTTTACTACTGTCCAGTTTTCTTCTTTTTCCAATGTGTCCTTCGCGTTCTTAGTTGAATTTATTGACACTGAATTAACTTGGTTTTCATTAATTGAAACTGAGCATTTATGAACACTAGATAATTTTGCCGATTTCGTGGCCACACAATCTTTCTTGAATTCATTATTAAAATTATTTGAGCTCGAGTTCGGCGTTTTTTCACTATATTGTACATCTATCATTCTGTCTTGTACTATTATTACAATGAGATGGTGATTTTGCGACTACCCCTCCTTATTTGGGCCGTTATTTTTAACTACCCTATTTTTATTCTGCTTTGTTATATTAGCAAATGACACTAATTGCTCCACATTTGTTTGTAATATTTCCTTCGTAGTATTTTTTACTGTTAAAGTAGTTTCCAAACGTTCATTTATTTCTGTAAGTACTTTAATACGCTCCTCCAACTCATCCACCTTATTTGCTTTTTGCTGCACTACATTCATAATATTTTTTAATTCCCGCAGCTCAGTTTCGGTATTAATAAATCTTTTTTCTAGCCGTTTATATTCCTTCATTTGATCGTCGAGCCGAGAAATCATTTCCATGCGGAACTCTCAGATCTCCTCTATAATCCTACTATCGTTACATACTTCGCGGTAATTTTGACAATCTCTTCGTTCTTTGTTCACATAAAAAGACGGTGAAAACGATTTGTCCATTACGCAAACTCCCCGAATCGGTGTATTGGTGTTGTCTACTTTCGGAATATTACACCGGCATTCTGGACAAACCCATTTACCTTTCTCTTCTTCAGTAAAATTTTGGTACTGCTCAGCCGTTATTGATACACACATATGATGATACACTTTTCTACATGTTTTTTGAGAAAACTCTATGCATAAAATATCAAAAATCAACTCATTGCACCCACTACATTTTGTTTCCATTTGATTATCCATATTATTATTAAAAAAAAATAACTTATACGTAATAATTAGTCGACACTACTCGCATAAGCGTCCGTTCGCTTTGCGTCTCGCGAGAACAACTTAAACTTTACTAACTTAAACAACAACACTTAAACAACACTTAAACAATACTTAAAAATTAACATATATGCATCATAAAAAAAGTTAAATACGTCTAGTTTGTTGTGACTTTGTTTTATTGGTAAAAAATCAATATTTCTTCGTTGAGGTGTAAATTAATAAAATTTATACGTTTATTTTTCTCCAAATTCAATGTTCACAACTATTTTTAATATCTTAAATAAAATGTTTGGGTTTTAAAACATACATAGGTTTAATTTGCATTCTTCTGTCAAATTTTCGTAGTTTTTGTCTCTACTCTATCTATTAGCTATATGGGTTTTATGTTACAACATGCAAGCGCAGTAGCAGCCGAATCAGGGCCACGCGTATCCGGACGTACAAGGGTACAACAGCCGCGCGGGCTTGACGCTGGAGCGAATATTATCATTAAAAAAAAAACGAAATTATTATTATTATTATTATGGGGTAATAGTAGTGTATTCTCATCTGGTTGGGCTGAATAAATATATAAAATAAAATGATAAATACACATAAATATATATTTCATATACTAGCATAAATAAATAATAAATACATAAATAAATAAAAGTCCAACCAGATGGATGTATTGCACAGACAAAACCCTCGGTTTCCCCGAAGAGGTCACCAAAGCGTAGCCAGTAGAGAGTGGCTACTGTGTCTACAAAAGACTCATGTAGAGTCTCATAGAACCTCCCGTGGAGCTCCTTCTCCATCCATACGATCTCCCGGTCGGAAATGCTCTGCACTGCTGGATCTTGCCATTGCTCGTTGGCTAAGGATAGAGGGGTAAGTCCTTTATCACAAAAAATGACGTCCTTATAGCATGGATCATCGGATCTCCCCAGGAAATAATTACGGAGGCTGCACACTTCGCGATCATGCGTGGTGAGCACGCTCAAAAAGCCACGCCCACCATGCTTTCGTGGCAAGTACAGCCTCATTACCGACGATCTCGGATGATGCATCCTACGGGACGTCATAGTAGTGCGGACTTTTCTATCCAGGGCGTTAAGTTCAGTCTAAGTCCACCCGAGTATGCCAAAGGTATACATGAGGACAGGCAAGACCCAACCGTTATGTACGTGTATCTTATTTACACCAGATAAAAGGCTGTTAAGCACTTTGGTCAAGCGTGCATAAAAAACGTCGCAAATGACTTTCATACCAGCCTCATTGATACCGATGTTCTGTGACACACCCAGGTATAGGTATGTTTTAGCCTCGGAAATGGTCCTTAAGTTGATGGGTATAGATAAGTCTATGCCCTCAGAGTTAGCAACCCTTCCCCTTTCAAAATGGAGGACCGCACACTTATCCGTCCCCAGCTCTATTCCAATAGAATTGCTAAATTCACAAGTAATATTTAGCAATTTCTATAAACAAAATGTGGGTCACTTTTGTACCTCCTCTCCGAAGCTGAAAACCCCTCCCGGAGCCCTCCAGTCAAGTACTGAGAGAGTTCAAAGAGAGGCAGAACCAGATTGGTTTCAGACAATCGCTCTGGAAGATACCCCTTCTTATCCTTATATAGCTTTCCGCGCAGCCCATCCGCTCGCCCAGATGACAAAGAATCGCACTCCACTGCCTCATACACTGCACGAGGAAGTCTATTTTTTTAAATTATTATCTACAATTTTGTTACATTATCCAGTACAATGCTAGTATATAAATCTCTAAAGGTTAATCTACGCTAGAGAGTCGTCTTACATAAACAAAAATGTATTAATATTAAATCACATTATTCTAACAGAAGTGTACCTACTGCAATAAGTATGGTTGATTTAACAAATATGATTTAAGTTTACTTTTAAACAGTTTGGATTTACCGTATGTTTTTTGTGATTCTATTGGCAATTCATAATAAAAGTAGGTACAAGATGGGTGGACCTTCTTGCTCCATAGACATTCTTAGTTTTCGGAAGTACAAAGATGTTGGATTTATACGGTATATTTCGTAGATTTACAGGTCGTTTTCTAAGAACTAGATATTCTGAATTATTTTTTATTAACTTAGTCTCTAGTTACTTAGTCTCTAACTGTACAGTCAATCTTGTACAGCTCGAGGACCCTCTTTAGCCATGTATGGGGCACTGAGTCGAATGCCTTTCTGTAGTCTATCCAGGCAGCGGAGAAGTTCCGACGGTTGCGTTTCACCACTTTGCCAATGACCGCTTCAATGAGAAGTAGTTGCTTGGTTCCACGACCACCGCCCGGACATAAATTTTGAGCGCGCGACATCACCTGATTTGAGTCCAGGTGACGAGTGATTCTCGCGCTCTAAATGGATGTTAATATCTTGTATATAGTCGGTAGACACGTGATGGAGCGGTATTTGCTAGGGTCTGTGGTATCCTGGTCCTTAGGAACAAAATAAGTTTTTTTTGTTTGTTTTTATGATGGATTTTAGGATGGATATGAGGGACTCCTATAATAAAAAGTATTATTCCAAAAAAAAAACTAAAATACGCGCTTTTGTTGGATACCCATATCATAGGAATGCTTAAAATAACTAGTCCTCCATCTTTAGGAGTCCATCATATTTGATTTGAAATGACGTCATTTAGCTAACCATTCATTGTCATCCAAATTAAACGTGTATGCTAAATTTCAGCTCAATCGAAAAACGAGAAGTTGGCCAATTTTTTTTTACATAATCACAGGTGAAGATATTAGCGTATTACAAACGGCCATTACTAATTTATTCTTTCTATAATAAATTTTAAAAAAAGAAATGGTACATCTTTATAAAGTATAATATATATATATACACATTACGTGTCACGTTGTTTATCCGTGACGGATCCTAAACTACTTAGCCAATTTTAATCAAATTTTCACACCGTGTGCAGTTTGGTCCAACTTGAGAGATATGATAGTTTGTTTTTTTTTGCTCATGAGTGACCCACAATTAAATATGCAACGCGGGCTCTAACTTTGGAAAACGTACTGCAGGCCCGTTATTGTCTCGTTTTTCTTCACAAGCACGTTCGACCTTCAATATAATGTCCCCGCATGCACTTTAAATCACTTTCGGCATTATGATAACAATTATATACTGCAAAAATGAATAAAAACACGGCACCTAACAAACTGTCTTGACATTCGCCATAAACAGTAAGATGGCGGCAAACAATTAGTTCATGGAGGTTAGAGAACAGGAGAACGATCGCCGTAGAAAATAGTGTACCAGAAATATGGACAAAATAAGTGAAGCGCTGCGATCGCTTGAGGTTCGGTCAATAAAAGTCATTTTCAGTCTATTTTACCGATCAGATGCTAAATCACTTGCACATCCACGCACAATAAAATATTTCTCCATTTTTAATGTTTCTTTTTATCAAAAATTACAAAATTACGGAGCATGAAAATTTTCTCATTAAAAATGAAATGAAAATTTGTACACTACTTTATTATCAAGATGTTAGTGCTGTTAGTCTATTCAACTAACTTCATCTACTTGTACTCATAAATAGCTAACTTCGCAGTTACTATTCAACGACGTCAGTGCCGCTTTACATTCTACAATTTTAAAGGACAGGCGGGCTTTCCTTATATATTTACTATACTCTGAGGCAGGCTATTCATAGTGATCGTTCTCCTGTTCTCTAACCTTCATGGACATGAGTGACATGACATGACATCTGAATCTGACAATCAGCTGATTCTCTTTCTAACCTAAAATTAGCGTTGCGTACAAAAACAAATATAAAATCTTAAAAAAAAGTGTAATAAATATATTTTAAAATTATATTACACAAGTGTACGTTTTCCGATTAGTATTAAATACAACTTACTCGAAAAAAAATGCGATACCTCTCTCAAATTTTCCAACCAGTGCTTACAATACCAAAGGATGCTATTATTAAAAACACTGAAATTACATGTAAAAGCCAGAAGGTGAGTTTTGAAACAGAAATATGGATATTATAATCTCGTTATTAGAGATAAGTCCTTAAGAATGTTAATTCGTTTGGATGAAACGAATTTTCAACTGTATTTACAAGGTATAACCTATCTTAATTCTGTCTTAAAATCTTAAATCTAAGGTAATAACCTTATTTCTGTAAAAAAGAGTACCTACTAGTAACACTTACCATTACGACTACTGCCATTTGTATAGAGAATTGGAGACCCTTTTCACTATAAACAAGGAATTTCTTCTTAGCCCTCAGAATTTTTCAAACCCATCAGAATTTTTATTTTTGAGGATAGAGGTAGATATCTATGAGCTCATATCATCACCATGTTTGTTGTGAAAGGAAACTGAAACGGGAGATGAACATCTTTCTGATAACAACTTGAAATAATAAAAAACTAATTGCTAACATGATTGCTGCAAATATTTCAGCCTTTGGACTATTTATTAGAGAGGCTTATGATCGGAAGTGGACTTTTGATAGGTTTTAATGAATAAAATAATTACAATTCATATATTCAAAGAAAAGTTGAATAAAAATAAATAAATAAGAGAATAAATAAAAATCTATCAAACTGAAATTAACAAATGTTAGGATAATTTATTTGCCAGTATATGCATCATACAACAATGGTTCAGGTTCAGTTAGTCAACTCTATTCGAGAACATCACTAGGATGTGGTTGAAGCTGGTCCGAATCCTATGTACCAGGGATGTACATTGTGTAGGTATGTTCTTGTAGAAGCAATCCAAACATCCCCAATGCGTTGCAGAATCGAGGCAGTACCATTAGTTCTGTACTGCTGTTGAGTGTAATTCAACCAGAGGCTGCTCATGTAGGGGGATGCACAATAGACTTTAACAGCGTAATCTTAACTACTGTTGTGCAATGAGTTCTTTGCACTTTCTATTAATATCTAAGTTATCTCTCAGGTCAGAGGTTACCAAATGTCCAAGATACTTAAAATGTTCTACTCTCTTCAGAGGGATTCCATTGAGTTTAATAAGAGGAACACTAAATGGACTTTTGTTTATGACCTGAAAGATCATATATTCACTTTTGCTTACATTGTGTTTTAGTCCGTGGTTATAAATGTCTATAAATACCTACTTAATATTCTAGTATATTTTCATAATTTGGGTGTATATAGTAATAGCTCTATAGAGCTTGCAATTTTCTACATACTATTTTCTAAGCCATACTAAGTAAACCTGCTGAAAAAGCTTTATTTTGCTTTTAATAACTTACAATATAACATTAACTCTCATGCCCAATACTCAGAAGTATAGAGAGAGACTATGAACTTCCATTTGATTTTAGATTTTCTGACTTTCCAGACACACCCTTATCTCTTTTTCGCATACACATGTATCTGTGTATACATGCTGGTGCTTCTTTTAAATATTGATGTATTTTAATAAATCTATAATCTTTACATTACAGCTTCTATTAGAATGTGGTCTAGTCAGACCAACAGGTTCTGGTCTGTTCACTTTACTGCCTCTAGCTCGGAGAGTTATTAACAAACTTGAGGCTCTTGTCATCCGCTGTATAGAGGAAGCTGGTGCACAGAGAATGTCACTGCCTTCGCTGACGGCGGCAAGGCTGTGGGAAAGGACTGGAAGGTTGCAGGATGTGGGGGCGGAATTATTGAAGGTTGAAGATCGGCATGGGAAGAAATACATCTTGTCACCAGTAAGTAAAATAGCAATATTTGCTTGAAAATCAAAATGATAATACCCCATTATATCATACTAATACTAAGTACTAGGTAGTACTAGGGCTGCCAGATGGTCGGGATTTACCTGGATTTTCCCAACATTTTAAGTGATTTCCAGACTACCGACAAAACTCAAAATCTCCAGACAAACTACTTCACAGAAAGTTAACGTATGGCCTTTGATTTAATAGATGACTTAGTTATTAGACTAAAGTATGAAGTAAATTGTTTGAATAATGATTTCTTATATTTATATAACACTACACATTGATTAAAACTACTTTTACAGATTTTATCGCATTTAATTTCTTGATTTTTTATTTTCGGGTGCTTTCCAGCACATATGGTCACAGGGGACTGTGGTGATTAATGTCCTGATGTCAATGTTGACCCGGAGTACCTTCAGCTTTGAAATTATTATTTATGGTCCGATCTATGCATAATGAACTTACTGTGCCTTGAAGTATTGCAGTGGTTTGCTTGGGTTTAGTTTTAATTTTATTAATTGCAGAAATGTCTGTGCTTTACGTCAGCTATATGAAGCACCAACGCTCCGGGAAGTCTGCAGTTTGTAATCATATTCTAGACGGCCCTAGCTATTACATCAGATTTGATAGACCATGAATCCTCGTGAAAGATTTTTTTTTAATTGGATGATATGTGAGGCTATTGAAATTATAAAACATCCTAATTATAATAGGGACTGGGTACTACCACCCACTTGAGATCCTGTAATTAATAAAATATATTGATAAAAGTAGTTTTAATCAATAAATTGTTTGAATTTTAAATCTTTTCTCAATACTACTAAAGGATCCGAATTGGTCGACTCAGTAAAGTCAAATGAAAAATACATGTGGTGACCTAAAAATTAAGTGAACTTATATTAGTTATGTGTCAACAATGTTTTGAGTCTTTTTGTAATCCCTTAATAAAAAAAATACAACCACAAAATACCAATATTTCCAAAATGTATAGATGGTAGAGCCACGCTGCAGCTATATTGTGGTTGTAGCAGGAATGGGTTGGGTCGACCGGGAAAGGACCACGCTCTTACAGAATACCAGCGTAAAATAGCAGCCTAATACTATAGTGTTTCGTATGGTGAGTGTAGAGATCCGGAAACCCTTTTCTACTGAAAACCAGGTATTCCATCTTAGTCTTCGGGGGTGACAACGTATCTGGTATTTGATTCTTAATCAAAGATAAATGTAGATGTCTATGGGCCACAGCATCCACTTACCATCAGGTGGACTGTGTGCTCATTTATCACTCTTATTCTATAAATAAATAAAATAAAAAAAAGGATGACGAGGATCAGTTTTATAAAAAAAGCCAATACCCGCATGAAAAATAAAATATGTCTTACCTAGTTAGAAGAGGACCACCTTCTGCCCTGTAGGACTAGAAACATGAGGGCTAGAAATCTTAAGCACACCAGATGTCAGTAGTGTGCTAATTTGTGGAGTCTGGTGGGAAATAATGGCTAGATAACGAATATTATCTTTTTAGTCTTATTGACGTCCAAAGAAATAATTGACATGAAGGAGTCACGTATTATATCGTCACCAGAAGGGAAGTCTAAAAATAAGTTCACCTGTACACAGTTTCATCATCATTGAAAAGTTGTGGATTTAATTATAAGTTTATACATTTCTAGTGTATCTAAATACTTTAAATGTCTAAAAGCCATAATATGGTGTATTCTTTAATTTTTATTAATTTTAAGTTCTTTTTTTAATTAATATTCATTTATCTTCTTCTCTATCATCTTATCCATTCAGTTTATTCATATTAGCCCCCCCCCCCATAGGTTGCCTCACAGGTTTCCCCCTATTGGCATAGTTGCCACGCTTGGCAAGCAATTTGTCAACTGCAGTTTTTCATTTTTAGACATTATTAGAAAGCTGCTGCTGCTCATCTCCTGATTTCCTTCCCACGGGATAATGTGGGGTAGTGGATATGCTTACACTGCCAATACATGGTACATTATACAGTACATTTTTAATTCAAATAAATTAATGTCTGTTTCAGACGCACGAAGAAGCTGTGGCAGATCTGCTGGCAGATGTTGGACCACTCTCCTATAAACAATTACCTCTATTGCTCTATCAAGTAAGTAAGTAGTTTTTCCTTTTATGTTTATTAGCTTTATTTCCTGACTAGCGAGCCGCCTTGTCTTCGCCTGGATTCTTTACTTGGTAGAGCCATGCTGCAGCTATAACTAGTCTGGCCATAAGTACTGTTACATAAAAACTTTTCTTTTCTTTAACTTTTTAATTATTTTGAATTTGGAACGCGTTCATTATTTTTAAAGTTCTTTCAATTTCGCGCCGTTTCACATATTTTTTCGTGTTCATTATCAAATTACAATATGGTATGTGGTGTTAAAGAAAATAGGATTGAGGTGATCGCCTTGCACAAAGTGGGTATCAAGAAATACAACAACACTTCCTCTATCGAGGAACATAAAAGATAGGGGCGGTCGCGTGCTGTTAGAAATACAAAGGCTGTTAATGCTATTAAAGCCAGAATTCGTCGAAATCCCATTAGGAAGCAAAAAATCTTATCGCGAGAAATGAAGATTCCCGCTAGGACTCTGTCGCGTATTATGAAACAGGACCTAAAGCTCGGTGCTTATCGTCGATATACAGACATGCCCTAAATCAGTCTTTACAATTAAAGAGAGTGGATCGATCAAAACGCCTTCTGTCAAGAAACGCAAGTGAAGGGCACAGAAATATCCTCTTTACTAGAAGCAAACAATATATATAAGAGCACTACAATAAGCAAAATGATACAGTGTATGCTCATAGTTCTAATGAAACTGCTCAAGTGGTCGCAAAGGTACAATGTGGTCATCATCCTGCGGCCTGTGGGGCGTGTCTCAAGGCGTCACAAAGCTACATTTTTGTGAAAAAGAAGTGAAAACTTCAGCCAAAGTGTATCAAGAGACAGTCTTGGATCGTGTTGTGAAACCTCTCAGCAATACACTTTTTAAAAATGTACCGTGGACTTTCCAGCAGGACTCTGCACCTGGTCACAAGGTACGAACTACCCAAGCCCAGCTTGAAACCAACGTTCCGGACTTTATAAGAGCTGAAGACTGGCCCTCATCTAGCCCAGACCTCAACCCTTTAGACTACAAATTATGGTCGGTTTTAGAGGACATGGCTTGCTCTAAACGACACGACAACATTGAGTCTCTTAAAAAATCTCTGGAGCAAGCAGTGGCGAAATTTCCCATGGAAACAGTGCGTAAATCCATAGATTCGTGGCCAGACAGATTAAAGGCCTGTATAAAAGCCAAAGGTGGCCATTTTGAAGAATGTTGTTTTTGTTTTTTGCTGAGGCTTTAATAAATGTACATATAAGTTTTGGTAATATTACATAACTTCAATAAAAAATGCATTTTCATTTGGCCAGAACTTATGGCCGCACTAGGTATTATAATTGTAGCACAGAACACCAGCGTAAAATAGCGCCTTAATGCTGCTGTGTTTCGTATGGTGAGTGTAGAGAATCAGAGATCCTTTTTTACTGGAAATGAGGCATTCCATCGTAGTCCTCAGGGGTGTTAACGCATCTGTATTTTGATTTATAATTGAAGATAGATGTAGATGTCTATGGGCCACAGCATCCATTTGCCATCAAGTGGACTGTGTGCTCATTTGTCACACTTAATTCTATAAAAAAGGATAGAATATATTCATATGGAGATATTAAGGTGTAATCATTTTTTTTGTATATTCAAAAATATATCTTCAACTTTGTCGGATAAAGTTGTCTAGATCGCTCCTGGCAGTGCTCTTTATCTGTTGGTAAAGTTTCATCACAATCAATTCAGCCAATTTGAAGATCTCCCTGGACATAAAGACAGCCAAAAAAATCCTTTTAATCCTTATTTTCCTTTTAATCAATAATATTTAATTCAAATAACCCCCCCGAGGTTAAAAGGTAAAAAAACCTCTGTTCAGCATTGGACAAAAACTCTAGGGGTTCCTCATGTTATAGAACTTGGTCCTTATTAATTTCTATTATATACAAATGACATTTTTATATAATTTTTTCTAAATCTGTATATGTTATGGTTTATTCTCTTTGTCAATACATCTATCCATGCAAGTTTGTTGTACCTACATTAACGGTTACTAATGTAAAATCAATGATTAATTCAACAGATCGGTAACAAATACAGAGATGAACCGCGGCCAAAGCATGGCTTGCTCCGGTCTAGGGAATTTTCTATGCTAGACGCATATGGTGCGCATCCCTCGCCTGAATGTGCGAGGGAAACATACGAGAGGGTAACTAATGCCTATAGGAAACTGTTCCAGACCCTTGAGTTGCCGATTTACAGGGGTAAGTGGGTGTACGTTATCCGTAACAGAGAAGACACATAAACTAATAAAGTAAATTTCTCATTCTTTATTAAACTGTAGTATTAATGTTCTCCAAACCGAATTTCGTTCATGGCAATCAGCCTCAATGGAGGCTAGCCATCGGTGCAGGACAGGATTATAGTGCCCTAGAGTATGTGCAAGTACAGGTGCACTCTCAGTTCCCTCACTCTCATAGTGCGATGGGACGGTAAACCGACACGACCGGAGATAGATCTGCCGCAGGACGTGTTTATGCTTTCCGATTGAATAACACCGCCAATTTCCTGTCTCTGGGCTGCTGCTGAAAATTTCTTGATAGATAAACTTAATAAATGACTTTTTTTGGCCAGAACGTGAATTCGAACCCAGGGCCTCACGATAAGTGGTAGTGTTTACTAACACTAGACCAACGAGGCCTGTAATATATACTGTTTGAAAGGGGCTGCTACAGTTTATTTTTTATATACAAAAGTAACAATCGAACTTGTTGTCGCCGTGCAGTCTGTGGACATCTGCAGCCAATTAAAGAAAACTGCAGGTCTCTGAGGACTAAGATGAAATGCCTTTTTTTGTATCGTAATAAGGATTTGTCTTAAGGCTGAACACAAGTTACGGAAAGTTAAATGAATTTAACTATAGTAAATGAAATTATAAACTGATAAAGATAGTCTAATAATTTAATCTCATTCTACGTGCAGTAATTGTCATATAGTGAGTAAGAACCGGATATTTATTTTTGTAGCATAAGGGTGACAAACGAGCACACAGTTTGTCTGATGATGTTGGATATTGATGTACTTAGGGAGTGACGAGGGCGATACGTCGATTAGACACGCTAGTTAATTGTACACTGGTTTAATGAGATGGCGACCGTTCGGTGGGGAACTCATACATCATCTCTGAGAACAAAGAGTCATCTCCTTCCACCTGACCGCATCCAGCGCAGAGCGGTTAGAATCGTCGACCGAATTCTTTTGCTGCGTAGGGATGTTGTATCCCTTTGCGTTTTCTATCGTATTTACCACGTGGAATTGTTCGGATTAGTTCCAGCCGCCAAATTTCACGAACGCACATCGCGTCAAAATTCACGATACCATCCTCACCATCTGGATGCTTGGCGGTCCACCACTGTACGTTTCACTAGGAGTATTCCCCCTCGTACAACTTCTCTTTGGAATAGTTTACCACCGACGATTTTTCTGGACCGATACGACTTAGGAACCTTCAAGAAAAGAGCTTACTCCTTACTAAAGGGCCGGCAACGCACCTGCAATTTCCCTGGTGTTGCGGTTGTTCATGGGCGGCGGTAGTCACTTACCATCAGATGAACCGCGTATTAGTTTGCCCCCTTTTCTATTAAAAAAATGATGGAATGCCTCGTTTCCAGTAAAAGGGTCTCCGGTTCTCTACACTCACCTTATGAAACAAAGCAGCATTAAGCTGCTATTTTACGCTGGTATTCTGTGAGAGTGTGGTCTTTCACCGGTCGAGCGGACCCCGTGCTACAACCATAATATAGCTGCAGCATGGATCTACCACGTGGACGGTAGCATGTTATCCGTTATAGAGAACATACATATGAACTAATAAAGAAAAACTCTCTCTCTCTCTGTCTCTCTAAACTTAACGTTGGGAATATAAAATAAGCAAATATACGCGATAAAAATAAAAACCTGTATCATTTAAATGGGGAGCAACACTTCAATGAGGGCCAATAATATTCCGCTCACCAGATGTCGCTAGCTGACTCTGAAATGAAGTTTTTTGTTACACAATGTCATTTAATTGGGAAATTAGTTTTAAATTAAAGTTAAGTTTCTAGAGTATTATATAATGCACACAACAATGCCTCAGTGGTTTGATTTTTAATTTTTTGCACATTTTAAGTCTTTTTTTTTTACTTTTATGAATATCTGTGGTTTGTTTTTTGAAGTGAAAACTTCTTTAGCGGCGTTGTACACTTTTTTTGTAATGGGTAAAAAATGTTAACCTCGCGTCAGGACACGTGACCCTGATCGAAAATGCGTAAGACGAATGGCGAGAACGAGACAGCCGGCGCCCTCCCCCCCCCCTCTTTTTCTACGGCGCTGCGAAAATGTATGCCTGCGCCTGCTGTGTTGTTTAATTGTGTACGATAGCGCAATAAATAAATATTGTATTCTACCACATAAATGATAGTACTTTTATACTGATAATTAAAACAATTCGTGCAAAATTATTCCCTAACCATTCCAAAATATCAAAAATGCACAACGTTAATATTCAAGTTTTCACTTCTGCCGGCACTCCCGGAGTGCAACCCGTCGTTTTATTTTTATTTTTAATCTAATTAATATAAAATATAACTAATGGTCCAGAAAGAAATATTAGCCTTTACAATTTTCGAACAAATTAACTTCCCCGCTATGAAATCTGTCAAATGTTACACCTCATTTCAAGTGGCGCCGCCCTGGTGACGGAAAAAGTTGTCATTGCCGAACGCGTTGGCTTCAAGTTATGTAAAAAATGTCAAAATTATTGTTAATGTAACAGTGTCTCGTATTAACATAATTGAAAACACGGAGTCTGATTAAATATTTAATATATTTACAGGTTTACAATTTTAAAATATAAAATACCAGCTTGCCAGGCAGACGTTGTTCTGCCCTTTTCGACGACACTTTGTCATGCCCTATTAAAAATCCTTATTTTCGCAAACAAAACTGTGGGTCACTCATGGGCAAAAAAACTATCCTATCTCTCAAGTTGGGCCAAACTGCATACGGTGTGCAAATTTGATTAAAATCAGTTAAGTAGTTTAGGGAGTCCATCTCGGACAAACAACGTGACACGTAATTTATTATACAGTAAACCCTCGTTAACTCGAACACGAAAAAACAGACAAATAGTTCGTGTTACAGAGGAGTTCGTGTAATCCGAACAATGCAAAAAATGAATTCGTGTTTCTAAATTCAATATTTATGATTCATCATAGAAACATTTTTATTAATAACTTTGATTTTATTATTTTATATTTACAATAATTTTTAAAAGCCAAATTGTTAAGAAGCCTTTGCTTTTGTTAATTAGTTTTCAAAAGTTTACAACCTTTCCAATAGCTTTTGTAAGACGGAAAGAAAATTTGAGGTATTATTTCTATTTTTAGGTACTCGAGTGAATGTTTAATATACTAATCATTTGTCTATTTTTAGAAACTCGAGTTAATAACTTTTCTAATCTCTGCAGCATTTGTTTACCGGTATTTGTATTGACCGAAAAAGGACAAAAATATACAAAATACATGATTTGGGAATTTTTACAGTTCGTATTATCCGATAATTAACCGTGAAGGGACGAAAAAGTTATTCGAAGTTCGGATTAACGAGGATTCGTCTTAACCGAATATAATTACATTGAAGCTTATGGAACTATTGTCTAGAGCAAATTTTTGTTCGCCTTAAACCAAAATTCGTGTTAACCGTGTTCGCATTAACGAGGGTTTGCTGTATTAAGATAAGAGAGAGGGGGTGACTTTTGACGTAAATGCCTTAGAGAATGAAACTAAATCGAATAGCGAGCCAGTTAAGTAAATAAATATTGTAGAGTGATTATAAATTATATTTTTATTCTATTAAATATATCTATACATATCTCTAGTGCGTGTAGTTGCGGTGTAAGAATATCCTCTAGCCCGTATCCTCCCGTGGGTGTCGTAAGAGGCGACAGAGGGAAACAAATCAGGAGATGGGCATCAGCGTCTTCCTGATACCAACTAAAAATAATAAAAACTGCGATTGGCAACCCGTCTCCCAAATGTAGCAACTATTTAATCCTCCCCATGAGGTAATCTATGGCAAGGTCCTATGTTCAGTAGGTAAGTATTTACTTTGCCAGTAATGGACGTAGTGCTAGTGTGTAATAAAACTATTATTTACGGATTTTATCGCGTTTAATTCAACTTTAATTTATTTCTATTATCCCGACGTTTCGGGTGCTTTACAGCACCCGTGGTCACGGGGTGGGGGGACTGAGATGTTTGACGTCCCAATGTCATAGTTAGTCCGGCTACCTTCAGTTTTTTAATATTAATTTTTGGTTCGATTTACGCAAAATGAGCGTACAGTATCATGAAGTCTTGCAGTGGTATGCTTGGATTTGGGCTTAATTTTGTAAATTATAGGATCCCAAGCAGCTGGCAGCACCCATCCATCTTCTCTATTGAAATTTTGATGGTTTTTAATTTCAATAGCCTCGCGTATAATCCTTGGTAGGAATCGGTGTTCTTTTGCGAGGATTTGTGGTTTATTAAATCTAATGTAATGGTGGGGACGATCCTGAACATGTTCGCAGACTGCAGACTTCCCGGAGCGTCGGTGCTTCACGTCAGCTATATGTTCCTTCACGCGGGTTTTAATAGATCTTTTTGTTTGACCTATGTAAGAGAGACCACATTCACAATCTAGCTTGTACACACCTGCATCTTGTAGAGGAATATTGCATTTGATGGATGGTAAAAATTGACTAATCTTCTTCGGCGGCTTGTAGTATGTTTTAATGGACGCTCGCTTCAAGATGTAGCCAATCTTGACTGTGACTCCTCTAACATACGGTAGTACAGTAGGCGCACGCTCGACTGTGGCCGGCTTCACTCGTTCACTGTGACGTAGGCACGGGACCCGAAGCTTGTTGTCTTGCAATACTTGCTTGACATGCTGAAGTTCGGCGGCCAGATGTTTTCTGTCACAGATCCCTCGTGCTCTCTCAAACAAAGATTTACCCACGGTAGCTAACTGTGAAGGATGATGGTGAGATTCACCATTTAGATATCGGTTGGTATGGGTCTTTTTTCTATACACAGTGTGACCAATAGTGTTATCAGGATTTCGGATGACTAAAACATCTAGGAAGGCTAAAGAATTATTTGCCTCTAACTCCATTGTGAATTGTATTTTAGAGTTTATGGAGTTAAGGTGGTCTAAAAATGCAGTTACTTTAAATCCAAGGTTCTACAAGCGGTACGTAGACGACACTTTCACAATTTTACCATCTGACAAAGTACTTAAAATTGCAATTAACGATTTCATTGGTGCCGGCGGGGATCGAACCCGGGTTACTCGCGTTCTTTTTTTATATATACAGCGGGCGTTAACCATCTGAGCTACCACGGCTCATGGGATCCTATAATTTACAAAATTAAACCCAAACCCAAGCATACCACTGCAAGACTTCATGATACTATAAGCTCATTTGGCGTAAATCGGACCAAAAATTAATATTCAAAAAATGAAGGTAGCCGGACTAACTATGACATTGGGACGTCAAACATCTCAGTCTCCCCCGTGACCATGGGTGCTGTAAAGCACCCGAAACGTCGGGATAATAAAAATAAATTAAAGTTGAATTAAACGCGATAAAATCCGTAAATAATAGTTTTATTCAATGTGTAGTGTTCGCGTAAATTTAAGAAATCATTAATTATCTTTGACCTAAGTCTTTCACGTGGTAGAGCCACGCTGCAGCTATAATTATAATAATGTCCTCCCGACCGAATTTCGGCCACGGCGGCCAGCCTCAACGAAGACTAGCCATCGGCGCAGGACAGGATTATAGTGCCCAAGTGTATGCGCAAGCACAGATGCACTCTCTCTTCCCTCACTTTCATAAGCCGATGGGACGGTAAACTGGCACGACCGGAGAGAGATCAGGCGCAGGACCAACGGCTTTACGTGCTTTCCGAGGCTCGGGGGTGAGACACCGCCAATTTCCTGACTCCGAGCAACTACTGAGAATTTCTTTACGTAAAATCTCAATAATAAATTTTTGGCCCGACCCGGGATTCGAACCCAGGACCTCATGATCAGCAGTCGCACTACTACAACCACTAGACCAACGAGGCAGTCGCTGCAGATATATTAGCAGTATAGTTGTATCACGAATGTGTCGGCTCGAAGGACCACGCTCTCACAGAATACCAGCGTAAAATAGCAGCTTAATGCTGCTGTGTTTCGTTTGGTGTGTGTAGAGAACCGGGGACCCTTATTACTGGAAAGGAGGCATTAAATCTTAGTCCTCACGGGTGACAACGCATCTACATTTTGATTCGTAATCGAGGATAGATGTAGATGTGTATGGACTACAGTAACCACTTACCAACAGGTGGACTATGTGCTTGTTTGTCACCCTTTTCTTATAAAAAAAGTATAATAAAAGTTTACACGAATGTCAAAAAATGTCACGGCGTGAAATGTATGTATGTAAACTGCCTCAACGATACAGGAGAAAATTCTAGTGTGCCGGTAATGTTTTTTTAAACGAAATAAATTATTAAAGTTCCCTAAAGTTCGATTGTAAGTGTTGCCAACATGAAAAATTCCAGTGGCGGCTCCTAGTGGGACTATGGGTGGGTCTCTATCCCACGAGTGGCAGTTGCTCGCCGACGCTGGGGAGGATACACTGGAACTGTGTCCTGAATGTAACTCTGCGATGCGCTCTGAAGAAGATTCCTCTAAAAAGTGCGCGCGATGTGCGAGCGAGACGCAACTAGTCAATAGTATCGAGGTGAGAATATAAACACACTAGCTGTTCCCCGCGACTTCGTTCGCGTGAAATTTATTACGATTGAATTCCATGTATTTGATTTTTTTGCGAATGACTCCAATTCTTTTTCTAAAATAAAAATAAGACTATGTAACTCCTTATAGCATCAGCTATCTGCCAGTGAAAGTCCTGACAAAATTGGTTCAGCCATTTTAGAGATTATCCGGAACAAACAGAAAATCAGACACAAAAATTATAAAAATTGTTTTTATTTTAAAAATATTTTATACAGCTGTGTCCCGCGGTTTCACCCGCGTATATCACGTGTCTGCGCAGTGCTACATGACATGACACCTCGCTCATTTAGTTCAATCATTTTGGCAAAAAAATTGGCAAAATTAATGTAGTATTTTTATTCTATCAGTATATGTATGTTATACAGCAAAGTTAAATTTTATCCACTCTCTCTCCTCCTCCCGGATGAATGCCCCAGAAAGTGCCCCAAAACGCGTTTTTCTTTTTCAGTTTTAAAGATTACACGGTACATGGAAAGTGTGGAGGTATGAAATGATCCACGATGAGTTTTCTATTAACCTTTTATACATACGAAAAGCGATATCATATTTAGTTTTTGCGCAATCTGCCACAAAATATGAACATTTCTTTTTCTATTCGATTTTTTTTGCTCTAAGTTTAGATATATTAAAATTTCCAACTTTACCACCAAAATATGTATGACTATAGTAAAGAATAGAATATGATCTTTAAAAAGACGTACAAATTATTTCCTAAATCTTTCATTATGATAAAACTACTTATTTGAAGAAGAATTAATACTACGATACGACTGTAACCGACTTTTGTTTCGGCCGGTGATCTAATTAAATTTTAGAACACAAAAGTGACTTAATTATGATTGTTAGATATATTCCTTACGCGGACTTTTTTCAAGATAATAATGAGTACTTTAATCATGTAGCACATAATTTCTATATATCATCAAGTTTTCTCAGCTAATGCCAAATAATGAATTTTATAGGCAAAATTTTGCTGCTTTGTTATAATTATACTTAGTTATAATTTTATTAAAGATCCCCAATTTTTTTGAAAGTAAGTTATAACCTATGTTCATCATCATCATTACAGCCCTTCACAAGTCCACTGCTGAACATAGGCCTCCCCCAAGTAATGCCACAAAGCACGGTCCTGAGCCACCTGCATCCATCGACTTCCTGCATGTCTTACCAGGTCGTCACTCCATCTAGTGGGTGGTCGCCCTACACTACGCCTACCGGTACGAGGCTGCCACTCGAGAACCTTTCTTCCCCATCGGTTATCGGTTCATCGAGCTATATGGCCGGCCCATTGCCACTTCAGCTTACTAATCCGTTGGGCTATGTCGGTCACTCTGGTTTTACTGCGGATATCCTCATTTCTCATATATCACGCATAAAAACTCCGAGCATAGCCCTCTCCATAGCTCGCTGAGCGACCTTGAGCGTCCTCATACGGCCAGCAGTGAAGGACCACGTCTCAGATCCGTAAGTCATCACTGGCAACACGCACTGGTTGTACACTTTAGTTTTCAGAGATTGAGGTATACCTGACGAGAAGATGTGTCGTAATTTCCCGAACGCTGCCCAGCCGAGTTGAATCCGTCGATTGACCTCTCGGTCGAAGTTGGACTTACCTAGTCGGACTATTTGTCCCAGGTAAACGTACTCGTCAACAACTTCGAGCATAGTGCTCCCAACAACTACCGGCATAGGTGTGACATGGACATTAAACATGATCTTTGTTTTGTCCATGTTCATCTTAAGACCTATCCGTTGGGAGGCACTATTGAGGTCATTGAGCATAGTGCTTAAGTCCTCCAGCGATTCTGCCATAAGGACTATATCGTCGGCAAATCGAAGGTGAGTGATGTACTCGCCATTGATGTTAATACCGTATCCTTTCCAGTCCAGTAGCTTGAAAACGTCTTCCAACGCAGCGGTGAAGAGTTTCGTGGATATAACGTCACCCTGTCTTACACCTCTCTGCAGTTGGATAGGTTTCGAGCTCTGGTTCTGTACTCGGATAGCCATCGTAGCCCTACTGTACAAACACTTCAGCACTTCGATATACCGACAGTCCACTTGGCACCGCTGAAGGGACGGAAGTATCGCCCAAATTTCGACGGAATCAAAGGCTTTCTCATAGTCCACATACGCCAGGCAAAGTTAGCCTATGTTACTTTGTGACAATTTAGCTTCCTATTGGTAAAAAATTATTAAAATCTGTCTAGTAGTTTTGGAGCTTATTTGGTACAAACGAACAAAAAAATCTTTTTTATTCATAATATTAAGGTATAGATGATGATTTTTTTGTTAATATTTTTCACTTTTTTTGTTCTTTTTTAATTTTGATAATTTTATTTTTATTAGAGATATTATTATATTATTTGTAAAAGTTCATATCTACAAAACATAAATTTATTATTTCAGAGCTTCCCTGTAAACTATATTTGATGTTGTTTTATTTTGTGGCAGCAAAATATCTTCGGTATATGAGGTAGTTGACCAGCTGATAGGCCGGTGATGATGGTCGCTACAGTTAATTTTCCTTCAATAGCTTAATAAGTAGCCTCATCCCATTGCACATACTCTGCGGCTTTGCATATTTTAACATAAAAAAGTAGTTATTGTGATATAACCGTAATAGTTGTACATATGATATCGCGGACTTTTATGTAGACATTGATTTCTTCTACAAAACTGTAGTACATCACTTTGCACTATTGTCAATATTTTCCGCAGCGTATGCGATATAAGGATTTTTCGGCGTTACTTTAACATGAAAAGTAGTTATTTTGACACAACTGTAGGGGTTAGACATATGGTACCACAGACTTTTTTGTAGATAATGATATCTTCTATAAAACTGTAGTACATCACTTTGCTCTATTGTCAATAGTTTCCGCTGCGTATGCGATATAAGGATTCTTTTGGTATTTTTTCACGCCGTGGGTTACATTAACGAAGTTTTTATACGGATCCCTAACTTTTTGAAAATATACTATAGCCTATGTTCATCAGGGATAATGTAGGATTCCATTGGTGAAAGAATTTTTCAAATCGGTCCAGTAGTTTTGGAGCCTATTCAATACAAACAAACAAATTTATCCTCTTTATAATATTAGTGTAGATAAACCAAATCTAGGGATATCTTAATCGTAAATTGTTTACTACTTTAAAGTTTAAAATCTTTTAACCTTCCATAAAAAGTTTGAAACCTCTTTTATTCTATTTTCAAAATTTAAAAATGTAAATGAAAAAAAAAACAAAGGAAGAGCAAAATACGGCGGCAAAATTGTTAGTAATTCATTACGTTAAGGAAGGTTAAAATTGTTCTACTGATATTAATTAATTAAAAAGGGATGAGATTGTTTTGTTGTTCTTTTTTAATTTAACGTGCCGTGGGAGCTTTAAGTCATGTCACGACGTCATTTGAGGCGAGATGAAATGTTACGAGCCGTGGGCATGTTAGAAAATGGTGCTATTCAACGTGTAGTTGCTGAGGCCCTACACACCAGCCAAAACGTGATATCAAGGTTGTGGTCACCGTATTGCAATACTGGGGATGTGGCTGGACGGCACACGGGCAGATATCATGTTACTACGTAGAGACAGGATCGATTTCTCCAAATTACCGCCAGAAGAGAACCCGATGTCACAGCGATGTAACTACTACAAAGACTCAAGGAGGACCACTAGCTGCTGGTAAGCGAACAAACCTTTAACGCCAATAAAATCTGATATAGGAAATGAAAGAACGATATGTTATATAAAGGTTTTTCATAAAAATAAAAAAAAATCGTAGGTAAATGTCACTTTTTAATTACTGTAGAAAATTAGTATGACAAAAAAAATCTTCATTTCTGCTTATAAAACTACTAATTTTAATTAAAATTAAAAAAAAATCCTATAAAATCTAATTATTAATAATGCTGCCACCTCCTACATTAATTACACATCGACATGGATTGTTCATAGTTAAAATTGAATGGTCATTGGGTGCGTTTGGCAGAAAAAAGCGCTAGCAAGCGCTTACAAGCGCTGAAATAGTTTTCGGCCAGGACACGATTGCTACTTCAGAAGCGCTGACACAATCCGCCATTTTGTTTATTTAATTTGTTTGTTTTGAAGTAGAGTTTATAAATTGTTTTGTGCAATATTAGTTTTAAGTAATATATTGACATGAATAAACATATACATGTTATTAAAAATTCATGATCGGTAAGTTTTTAATATGAATACTTTACAAACATATATTTAAATTAGGTTAGGTTCCCCGGTTAAAACTAACATCGTGTCCTGGAGGAAAATAGCTACTTACGATTTGACAGCGCTTACCGCTTACGATCTCCATTTTGCTTACAAGCGCTTGCTAGCGCTTTTTTCTGTCAAACGCACCCGTCGTCTTGCTTCGGTATGAGGTCCCATGTTCTTTGCAAATGTTCGTAACGTTATTGTTCCAACGTCAAATTTGGCAGGAAATCTCTCAAAGCTTTTCGTTGTAACATGTCCTAGGCTTGCTCGATAGGATTTAAGTCGGGCTCACACGGCACGTTAAATTAAAAAAGAAAAACAATCTGATCCCTTTCTATTCATTTATATCGATAGAACAATTTTAATTTTCCTTGACGTAACGAATTACTTACACCTTCGCCGCCTTATTTTGTTTTTTTTTTTTTGTTTCTTTTATTTACATTTTTAAATTTTGAAAAGAGAATAAAAGAAGTTTCAATCTGTATTTAAACTTTTAATGAAAACTAAAAAGCTTTTAAACTATAAAGTTGTAAATAATTTAGGGTTAATGTATCCCTAGATTCTGTTGAAGTGTTTACATAAAACTTACGCGTTTGTCATTGTTTGTCCGCGATCAACTCGTAAACTACAGAACTGTTGAAATAATACTGGTTGTTACGGATTTTATCGCGTATATGAACTGTTTTATATACCCGACGTTTCGAGCACTGACTCAGTGCCTCCGTGACCATGTGTGCTGTAAAGTGCTTGAAACGTCGGGTATATAAAAAAATGAAATTTTGCACACTGTGCAGTTCACTCCAACTTGAAAGGTAGGATTATTTTATCGCGATAAGTGACCCTAAATATCTTTTTTATTGCCAATTTAAGGGTTTTTATAAGAAGGGAAGGAGGCTGGAAAGGGCAGAACATCGTCTACCAGGCCAGCTAGTATAATTATATAGAGTTATTTTTCAAAGAGAAGCCAAATTTTAAATTTAAGTTCAAATATATAAATAATGATATACCGTTTTTGTAGTTTTTGAAAGTACGAGCAAATATGGCTTCTACTTTTATTTGAAATTATCCCAATTTACCTACCGATCGACCCTTACGAATGTGTGTGTGCGCAGTAAAATCAGTTAAAATATTGCATCACCACGCATTTTGAATTTAAAAGATAAAAAGGACGGAATATTTAAGTTGTTTTTTTTTAAATTAATTTTTCTTCAACTTTTGCCTATATTACTTATTCTGAACCTTCTGACATATCATGCTGGTGAGATGTGTGCGCGTGCAGGTGGGACACACGTTCGTCCTGGGCGCGCGCTACAGCGAGCCGCTACGCGCGCACTACGCCGCCGTAGACGCCGCCTCTACGCCGCTACACATGTCCTGCTACGGCATCGGCATCACAAGGTATGACACTATGGAGTGTAGAGATAAGGAGAACCGTCTCTGTTTAAAAAGTGTCCGTAGGAAAGTCCTAAATAAGGGTGGCGCCACTGTAGCTAGAGGGTAAAATTTTAAAGAATTTTTTTATAACTTTTTATTGTATAGACTTTCACCGTCATTTTTTATAATAATTATTTTATTGTTTTGGAAATTTATATTTTCAAAATTACTCAACGTGTTTCACGGCTACTTTTTTTAGGTTATATTTACTAAATTATTTTAGACAACGTGAGTACTTGAGGTTTTAATTACTGCAGTTTCATTAACTAGTCTATTCTTCAACTCAGCACACTTCACCCCGCCGACAACTGCTAAGTTCATTTCATACCCGTAGCTACTCGAGCGCTGTTGTGGAGAGTTTTTGAACTGTTATTTACTGCTTACAGACGGACTCATTTTCAATTGTTCTCCTATGGGATATTGTCTTCCTTACCTCTATAATCCATGGTATACACACACGAAAACACCAAAGTCGCGCCTTACAGTAGTGCTTCTGAACATTTTAGTTACGAGGGATCATTTAACCTATTTTGTTTATCTTGTCGTGGACTTGGAATAAATATAATTTTACGAATGTTATCGCGTTTAATTTTAACTTTTTTAATTCCCGACGTTTCGAGTACTTAACAGTATCTATGGTTATTGTGAGACTGAGGTATTTGACGTCCTGATGTGATAGTTAACGAAGGCTACCTTCAACTTTCAAATATTAATATTTGAAAATTGAAGGTAGCCTTCGTTTTTGGCAAATCTGATATAATGTTTGGGACGATTCTGAACATTTTGCCATGGATCACCAGTATTTAGACATAATATAATAGTCTAGTTGGTTTTTAAGTTTGTTCTATAAATAAAACACATACAAAAATGAACTGTTATTTATACAATAAGGGTGACAAACGAGCACACAGTTCACCTGATGGTGAGTGGATGCTGTGGCCCATAGACATCTACATTTATCCTCAACTAAGAATCAAAACGCAGATGCGTTGTCACCCCTGAGGAATAAGATCGAATGCCTCGTTTCCAGTAAAACGGGTCTCCGGTTTTCTATATTCACCATACGAAACACAGCAATATTAAGCTGCTATTACACGTGGTATTCTGTGAAAACGTGGTCTTACCACGGTCGAGCCGACCCAGTCGTGCTGCGACCATAATAAATCTGCAGCATGGCTCTATCACGTACCAAATTTTTCTTAATATATTAGTTATAGTATACGGCTTTGTGTTTTAATCACTGTCCTTTTCCTAGTTTTGGTTTCATAGGGCGGCAAAGTTTAAGGTGACCATATTACCTTCACGTACTATATATTATCTTAATTCCTAGAGTGGGAGGCGCAGGCAGCCGTGGCACAGTTTATACAAGTACGGCTGCCGACGTTAACCTCTCATTGTAATTAATGAAACTTATTATTTGTATCATAGAATACTATAATACACAATAGAATGGCTGTCAACTTTATTTTGTACGAGGTTTGGCGTCACCAAATCCGATTCGCTGTGTTGATAAACTGAATAAATTTACACATTTTGGACTTTTGATTAATGTTCATGATCATCATTTAAAAAATCGTTTAAATTTTAATACATATTTATTTGTAAATAGGGTGCAATTTGGCATTTTTTTAAATAATTTGCATGCGAAATTTGGAAACGATTGTAACGTTACAACATATCTCGTGTTGACATTTATACGTGTGAATTGAGGTGTTAGTGACATTTTAGTGGCTACAAGGGCTCCGCCTACTCCCCCCGTTCTATTATTTATGTATTATAGTATTCTATGATTTTATTTTCTTTTTTTTAAATAGTATTAACAATGCTATAAACGTTACTAACGTTCCCCTTAACCACTCGTGGTAAGCTTAAATTGCTTGTGTTACGAGTGGTTCACGCCAGTAATCGAATAGCGGATGCGAACCCGCGACCTTTTTGAGTTCGCGGTCCGCGCCCTGCCATTAGGCTACTGTCGCTTCAGTCCGCTCCCTGCCATTAGGCTACTGTCGCTTCAGTCCGCTCCCTGCCATTAGGCTACTGTCGCTTTAATCCGCGCCCTGCCATTAGGATACTGTCGCTTCATGATTTATATAATATATATGATTTATATGTGTAAGTTATGATGTAAAATTAGTGTAGTAATTAAACAAATATTTATTCATTTATTATTTTATCACTTTTTAAATATTATTGTTAAATCTTATGCAACTTTTGTTTTATTTTCAGATTGCTCGCAGCAAGTGTGGAAGCCCTGGCTAATGATAAGGCCTTGAGATGGCCTGAAGCCATAGCTCCCTACCGCGTCCTCATAATAGGACCTAAGGTATACATTACAGCTTAGCCTATAAAACTCCATACATGAAAATAGGCCTCCTACATTTTTTATAGGATAGGATGACAAACGAGCACACAGTCCACCTGATGGTGAGTGTATGCTGTGGCCAATAGACATCTACATCTATCTTCGTTTACGAATCAAAATGCAGATGTGTTGTCACCCGTGAGGACTAAGATGGAACGCCTCGTTTCCAGTAAAAAGGGTCTCCGGTTCTCTACACTCACCATACGAAACACAGCAGCATTAAGCTACTATTTCAAGCTGGTATTCCGTGAGAGCGTGGTCCTTCCCCGGTCGAGCGGACCCATTCGTGCTACAACTATACTACTAATATAACTGCAGCATGGCTCTACCACGTATAAATACCACACAGGGGGATTTTGCCGTAGTAGCCACGATTGGCAAGCGGGTTGGTAACTGCAGTTTTGTACTATTTTAGTCGTTATTTTAGTCGTTATTAGGAAGATTCTGCTGCCCATCTCCTGCTTTGTTTCCCTCCGTCGCCTCATACGACACCCACGGGACGATATGGGCTAGTGGATATGCTTACACCACCACTACATTCATCTACACCATAAGGTATGATTAATATGTTAAAAGACATCTGATCTATTAGTTTAGAGGATACTTTTTCTTTTACTTAGGATAGGAGAAGAGTGTGGTTTGCAAGATGATGTTGTGATCAGGATTAAGAAAGGAGTATTTCGGTGGTTTGGTCATGTGGAAAGAATGAATGAGGAAAGAGTGACAAAGAAAATTTATGTTGCAGAGTCGGAAAGGGATGTCCTAGGCGAAAATTTATCGACCAAATTAACGATTTATTGAAAACGGGCCAAATTAGAAGTACCCTTAACCGTCGACCATGTATGTTTAGGTATATGGATGTGAAGGAGGCGAGAGAGGTGTGTCAGGATCGTACTAAATGGAAGTCTGTAGTCTCTGCCTACCACTCTGGGTGACAGGCGTGAGTGTTTATGTATTTATGTATGATACTTTTTCATGTATAATTTATATAGTTTAAGAATTTTATTTCTCATTAAGAATTTACAATAATTCGCTTATTGAGAAACTAAATTTAGAAAAACGTACTTCTATTGAGCGTACAGTTGAATATTAAATAGGTACAATAAAATATAATGTAGGATATAGGTAGTCTTCGAATCTTGCAACAATTAACAAACTAGTAACACCAACCGAGCAAACACGGATCTTGATTAAGAAATGCAATTGGCTAGAAGTGGCATCAATCAGAGCGAACGTTTATGCGTATGCTTGGTAATTTTATTCATTAATGTGACCTTAATATACTACCTAAAATGACTTAGCAAGATCCTTCGTTATGCCGAAAATATTGCAGCATTAATTTTGAAATAAGTTTATGGTAAATTGAGGATTGATGTTAAGTATGTTAGACGAAAACACGATTCTGTAAATTTTTTCTATAGAAAAAAAAATCCAAAGTTACCTCCAAACCAGACAATAAACCGCTGATATTCACAAAATACTTTAAATTAGATCATGAAACTTTGCACACTAACTGAACTAATTATAAAGCGGGGCTTATTTTTTTTAAATACCATTGTTTTCACTGTCAAAAGAAACTACCTAAACTACCGGCGTCCAGAAGCTTGTTCCTTGCCGCCCGATATTCCTGCTCAGTCTCGTTTCGGCTTTCGTACGGGAAGGCTGTGTCGCTTACGATCAGAATTCACATTACGCAACAGGACGACGTAAAATTAAAATGGGTAATAACCGTAATAAAAATAAGAAGCGACTGGCTTGGCGTAAAAAAACGGGCACTAATATGATAAACCAAATGAAATAGGTATCTAACGACCTATCTATTTACAGTATTAGTGATTACAAACATGTCGGTAGAGAGAATACGACGCGCGGGGACGTGGAGGCGAAATTAGAATTTGAGCTGAGATAGTATAGGCCGTTAAGAAATATGCTTTAAGCAACTCTTTGAAATGGGACATGCTTTATGCTTCTTCTATATTAATCGGTAATTTATTGTACATGATGACACCTTCAAATTCAATGTTCTTCTTTCCGTAGTTTCTTCTGGGTCGACGTGTTACTATATAGTTTGCATTGCGTAATTTTATTTTTTGTATTTGTTGTTTTCTAATAAAGTTTAATGATGTATGAATGTCTTTATTGATTATTTTATGTATTAGTATACAAGTGTAGTATTTATAAGTTTGTGTAATGTTTATTATTTTAGTATCATCAAATTTTTTTGACGGTGTTCGGAATTTATAAATAATAAAGCTCTTAATAATTTATTTTGCGCTGTTTGTAAAGCTGTAAGTGCAATTTATGTTTGCAAAATATCTCCACAATACAGGGGAAATAATTAGTGTTCGTTTTCTTCGAAAAATCATAATCCTAGATATTTGATTAACTGTTTGTTAAAATAGCTAAATATCTATGGCATAGTTTGGATTACGACCTTGAGACTCAGAACTTAGGCCATCTGTAAGGCTATGCTTCTGTATCTGTATTCTCAAGTGTAAAGCTTGTGCCCTTGTTATATACGAATAACTCATAACAATTTATAAAAATGTAAGAAAGGTTGTAGTTATTGCCACCCATGAAAATAGAAGACGAATTGAGATCTTTATTCATCATCATCGTTGAGCACGTGTCAAACCAGCACTTAAAATTGCAATTGAAAATTTCATTGGGGCCGGTGGAATTGAACAAGAGTTTCTTGCGTGCTGTAAAATTCACAGCGAGCTCTTAGCGCCTGATTTACCACCAGCACGGCGGTGAAGGAAAACATCCTGAGGAAACCTACATGTCTGAGAAATAAGAAAAAAATATATATTTCGAAGACATGTGAAGTCTGCCAACACGCATTGGAGCAGCGCGGCGGACATTTCCTTACCCTAAAACACTATCGGAAGTGAGATGAGGCCTGTGCCTAGCGGAGTAGGACGTTAGGCTGTAACTTTAACTTTTTAACTGTATTTATCATCACTTATCAAATGATCAGAGTGACAAACGAGCACACAGTCCACCTGATGGTAAGTGGATACTGTGGCCCATAGACATCTGCACCTTGCCTCGATTACGAATCAAAATTCAGATGGGTTGTCGCCCCTAAGGCCTAAGATGGAATGCCTCGTTTCCAATAAAAAGAGCCTCCGGTTTTTTACACTCATACGAAACACCCCTTCGTGCTAAAATTATTATATAACCGCAATGTGACTCTACACGTGAATATTTGAAAAATAATAATTTAACAGGAGGGTTCGAAAGAGTGGGCGGTCCACGGTTGGGAAGAGGTCCAAGGTTTGGGCGAGGAGTTGGAGAGGGAAGCCGGGCTACATTCAGACGTTGTACTGGACGATCGACACACTCACACTATTGGCAGGAGGATGAAAGCTGCTGACAGGTACACTTAAATATTTAATTCTTAGTTGTGTTTTCATCAGGTATACTTCAAAACTTGAACACAAGATTATACAACCAGTGAGTTTTTTATAGGAGACGGGGCAAACGAGTATACGGCTCACTTCATGTTAAATGGACTACCGCCGCCCATGAACTGCTACCACGCCAGGGGAGTTGCAGATGCGCTGCCGGCCTTTTAAAAAGCAGTTCTTTTCTTTAAAGTCCCTAATTCGTATCGGTCCAGAAAAATCCTCTGGTGGTAGTCGAATCCACAAGGAAGTTCTGCGAGGAAGAAAACTTCTTTTAAATCGCACAGTGGTGGACCGCCAGTCAGATGGTATGGATGGTATCGCGAGTTTTGTCGCGATGTGCGATGGTGAAGTTGTGCGACTGGAGTTAGTCCGAAGAATTCCTCAGAACACTCGCCATGATAGATCAAATGGAAGGCGCTGGCGCTGTGGAGCCCCGGCCCAGAGATGGAAACAGTACTCCATGTGCGGCCGAACCTGCGTCTTGTAAAGTTGCAGGCGATGAGCCCGTATAGAATACTGTCCCGCTCTGCTGAGCATGCCAAGTTGCCAGTGATGACTTATGGATCTGATACGTGATCCTTCACTGCTGGCCATATGAGAAAGCTCACGGTTGCTCAGCTAGCTATGGAGAGGTCGTCAATGCTCGAGGTTATCTGCGTGATTTATATATAAAGAATATCTCATAGAACTTATAAATGATTATAAGATGATCCATCCATTGAACCATCTTATAATCATACGCAGATTATCTGCAGATATTCTCGTTTCTATATAAATCATCACAAATGTTCGAAGAACCGACAACCGATGGGGGAAAATGTTTTCGTGTCGCAACCCCGTAAGGGTAAAAAAGTTTACGACGGCCTCCCACTAAATGGAGTCGATGGATACTTGGGGGAGGCCTATGTTCAGCAGTTGATTTATGAAGGGCTATAATGATGATAATGAATGTGTAGTTTTCACGTAAATATAAGAAGTCATAATTATCTATAGAATTAAGCCTGCAAGAGAATGAGATAGAATTAGAGATGGGCCGAATATTCGTTTTATATTCGGTATTCGGCATATTCGGCAGCTTTACCGAATATTCGTATTAGGCCGAATATTCGGCTAAACCACCGAACATTTGTATTTATAGTGTCCACTGTATTGAAATGTACGAATTGAGTAATGCGATGTCTTTTATTGTTGAAAGTAATGGGTTAAATGTACTTGGATTATTTTTAGATACATTATATATTTAGATTCATATTCATATTCATTTATTGATAAAATATAAGCTTACAGTATATACAACCAAATCGCTTATATCTATATAAGTAAGATAAAATACACAAGAATAAAAATCACCAATTATTAAATTTCCATACACAATATAAATTACAGCCACAACAGTATAATGAGATCTATTTACTATATCATAAATTAAACTTATTTACCTAAACATATACTATTCTACTATGTTACAAAGTTGTTTAAGAATATTAATACGTTTTTATACATTACGCTGGGTTTGTCAAAAAATATATCTGCTCTGGATTGGCCTTGAGAAAACAGTTTATTAGTCTAACGGCTCTGGAAGTGGGACTGTTATCTACGTGTGGGGAGCGCCACGTACGCGGACAGGAGAGGAGTCTACGCTTACGTCTACCAACACCTCGCACATAATGGTCCGGTACATAAAGATGTATGGTCTCACGAACTGCAGGATTATCTACTTTGTTACTTAACAAGAAATAATAATGCATTATATGCATAAGTTCCCGCCTACACTGTAGGGTATCCAGACCAACCATGCCCGATACAAATGTTGACGGATATAGAAATGGGTAGTATCCATACTGGCGTTTATACAGATATCTGGCAAACTTACGTTGGATTTTTTCCACCATCATTGTATACATGATTTCTCGGGGGTTCCATACTAGGGCGTTATACTCTAGCTTACTTCGCACGTAGGCATTATACAGGAGTTTTATCACACGGACATTTTTAAACTGATGCGAAGTTCTTATTATGAAACCTAGACTTTTATTCGCTTCTTTGCACGTTTTAATAATATGTTCATGGAAATTCAATTTACTATCCATGATTAGGCCTAGATCGCGAATTGAATAGACACGTCTTAATGGAGTGCCTGCTAGCTGGTATGTCGCTGTGATTGGATTGCGTGACCGAGAAAAAGTTAGAGTCTTACACTTTGAATTATTAAGGGGCAACTTGTTTTTTACACTCCATTCAACCACTGCGTCAATGTCGCGCTGTAATGCCATACAGTCCTCAGCTCCGGTCACTGCATGGAAAAGTTTTATATCATCAGCGAACATTAAACATTTTGCCCTTGAGATATTACTGGGCAGATCGTTAATCATTATTAGAAATAGAGTTGGACCGAGCGTACTACCTTGACTCACACCCGAGCGTGTGTAATATTCTTGAGAAATATAACCTCTTAGCTTAACAAATTGCTTTCGGTCTCTAAGATAATCTGCCATAAATTTTAAAAGTGGTGTAGAGAATCCAAGCATGGCGAATTTCAATAAAAGGATATCATTATCAACAAGGTCAAACGCCTTCTTAAAATCAAAATAGGCTGCATCGACTTGACAACTTGACTTAACCCGAGTGGTCACGTAGTCCACAAACTGTATATGATTCGTCAAAGTAGAACGTTCCGGCCGGAATCCATGTTGACAGTTATCTAGAAGCCCACCTATTTGTTTATAAATGGAATTGTTTACAATGGATTCAAACACCTTGGCAAATACTGATAACACCGCGATAGGCCTGAAGTTAGTTACATCAGTGGACGAACCACTTTTAGGTACAGGAGTTACCCTGGACACTTTCCATGCATTGGGATAGAGGCATTGTTGAAGTGAGAGATTGTAGACATACAGTAATGGTTCCTCTAAAACTGCCATACAGTCCTTTATTAAAAACGAAGGTATGTTATCAGGGCCACAAGCTGCCGATGCCTTAAGACGGCGTATTGCCCATCGTAGATCTGAAGCTTTAATAATATTAATACTGACTTTGGTTACACAGTCCGCGTACATTGCATCGCGTTCCGCTGCCTCTACATTTAACAATGGAGTATCAGGTTGAAAAACTGAGCTGAAATACTGCGCGAATGCATCAATAGCTTGCTGCCCTTCTAAAATTCTATTATTATACACAAATTCCTTATTCTGTTGTCTATTCTTTCGTTTTTCTTTCACGTATTTCCAAAAATTTGAAGGTTCGCGTGCTATATCATTTTCAACTTTTATCATATAATTTATAGATGCTGTATTAATAAGTTTTTTTACTTTGGTTCTATAATATTTAAATAACGCCTTATTAAATTCCAAGCCACGACTTTTAAACATTTTTAAATTAAAATATTTCAATTTTATGTATTTTATGATTTCTTTAGTATACCATTTTGGATATATATATTTATGATTGGTAGTTAAGGATTTATTGGGAACTCGTCTACTAATGACTTTATTAAGCTTATTATATAAGATCTCTAAAGCTACATTTACGTCCTGTTGGTGCATTAGGTCCGTCCAGTCCAAGTCATTTATATCAGTGTACAAGCCACAGAGATCTGCTTTACGGAAATTCCATTTATATTTAGATTCATTTCCAATTATAGCAAATAGAAAGCTTGATAAAATGTTTTTGGAATCAAACAAAGTAACGTTACATTACATTAGTAAATTTCACTTTACTTTGGTCGTCAGTTTCTCTGAAATAAATGCACATAGTAGATCTCTTGCCACTCATTTTTATCATATAATTATCAATTTTCACTAAGAATAACACTACGATTTTTTTTTGCCCAAAAACCGGCGCCGGCAGGGTCCGGCGCTAATCCCGCGCGCTTTACGGTAACAAGTTTCGACAGAAATTGGTTACGCACCGAAGTGATCCTGCCGAATAATGTTCGGCCGAATATTCGGTTTCGGTGAAATCCATGTTCGGCCCATCACTGGATAGGATACAAAATACATACAGTAGACGGTGATTTATTTATATTACACATAAAAAAAGTAAAGTGACAGCCTATATACGTCCCACTGCTGGGCACAGGCCTCCCCTAATTTCTGAGAGGGTTTTAGGGCAAGGAATGCCCCAATGCGTGTTGGCGAACTTCACATGTCTTCGAAATATTTTTTTTCCTTATTCCTCAGACATGCAGGTTTCCTCACGATGTTTTCCTTCAACGCCGAGCACGTGGTAAATCAGTACTTAAAATTACAATTAACAATTTCATTGGTGCCGGAGGGGATCGAACCCGGGTTACTCGCGTTCTTTTATATTTACAGCGAACCATCTGAGCTACCACGGCTCTATATTACACATAAACCCTATAATTGTCCTACTCCTGATACTCTGCATACGCCTCATTCTCCGAAGTTTAGTTCTCTGAAGGTTTCACTTTTACCGCGTATGACTTCTACCGCACTCATGTTTTTTTTTTAATTTCATTCCAGAATGGGCTACCCTATAATTGTAGTTTGCGGACGCTCCACCACCGAGCAGCCGCCTCGGTATGAATTGTACCGAAGCAAACGCGTTGGGTACTCCGCGCCCGAGCTCCTAACTCGATCCGAACTTCTGGTCACTATTGCCACCATGGCCAAAGTGGATGTAAACGGTGAGGCAGTCTGTGCTGCTGACTCGAGCTGAACTTCTGGCCACCCTGACCACATGGCCATCATGGCCAAAGTGGACTTAAACGTTAGAGAAGTCACTAGCAATGCGCAACAAATTAGCGGCAATTGATTACAGTGATAAAATTTTGCAAATATATAAAATTTGGTGTGTGGCCGCTATGGCCAGAAGACATTATTGCTGTGTAGTGGTAATAGTTTATTAGTGAAATTAGTTATTAAGTTATAAATAAACGTTTATTGTTAAATAATTGTGTTTTATTTTAATATCTTTTCGGTTAAGTATTCAATTTGAATTTACGGATCTGAGAGGTGGTCCTTCACTGCTGGCCGTATGAGGACGCTCAAGGTCGCTCAGCGAGCTATGAAGAGGGCTATGCTCGAAGTTTCTCTGCGTGATAGACTCAGAAATAAGGATATCCGCAGTAGAACCAGAGTGACCGACATAGCCCAACGGATTAGTAAGCGGAAGTGGCAATGGGCCGGCCATATAGCTCGAAGAACCGATAACCGATGGGAAAGAAGGGTTCTCGAGTGGCAGCCTCGTACCGGTAGGCGAAGTGTAGGGCGACCCAACACTAGATGGAGTGACGACCTGGTAAGACATGCAGGAAGTCGATGGATGCAGGTGGCTCAGGACCGTGCTTTGTGGCATATCTTGGGGGAGGCCTATGTTCAGCAGTGGACTTGTGAAGGGCTGTAATGATGATGATAAGTATTGAAAGTGTAGTATTGGCGGTGTAGGAATATCCCCTACCCCGTATCATCCCGTGGATGTCTTAAGAGGCGACAGAGGAAAACAAATGAGGAGACGGGCTGCAGCGTTTTCTTAATAACAACTAAAACTAAAGGAAATGCGGTTGCCAAACCGCTCGCCAAGTGTGCAACTATGGCATTTTATTATACAATAAGGGTGACCAAATGATGGTAAGTAGATCCTGTGGCTCATAGACATCTACATTTATTCTCGATTAAGAATCAAAACGCAGATGCGTTGTCGCTCCTGAGGACTAAGATGGGATGCCTCTTTCCAGTGAAAAGGGTCTTCGGATGTCTACACTCACCATACGATACACAGCAGTATTAAGCTGCTATTTTACGCTGGTATTCTTTGAGAGCGTGGTCCTTCCCCAGTCGAGCCGATCCATTCGTGCTACAACCATGGCTCTATCAAGTATAATAAATCCTACGCAGAGTAAGGGCGGGTTGCTAGTTCAACACATAGATAATAATATGTAAGTGTTAGGGCTCTTGTACACTCTACGAAATTTTACCGTGTCTACGGCATTTATGACCAATTCATCATATATACGACAGGAATTTTGTCGGATCTAGCCACGAAAATTTGTCATGTCTGCTCCAGACAAGATAAATGGAGACTTGTACACGATGAGATTGTTTTCGGTCGTGTAAGGGTATGGTGCTGTGGCCGTGAAGGAAAAGGGGAGATCTCCCGCCGGGCAAGGTGTTCTGCCCGGGGAGCGGCCAACACTCCGTGTGCGGAGATGTTCTATATATGCTGTTTATGATTCGGAATGTTGATAACGTGATTTAAGCTTCGGTGTGTTTCGGTTGCGGCGCGACGACAGCGCCGCCACATCACCCCTCTGCTCAGACCGGAGGTTGATAGTGCAGTCCGATTGCCGGTGTAACCAGTAAAGTTTGTTTGTAATGAATAGAATCATGTTAACTACGAAGCAAAAAATGATTATCGTCCACGTCACGCCCACGCATGTACAAAAGTACTCAAATTATCTGAAGCAACTCACCTACTCCGCCCTTCCCTTCACCGCAACAACACGGAGCTCGACTTGTCTAGCGCAGACAAGATGTTTTTCTTTGTCGGCGCCGGAGCATTGTATACACAGTACACAGTTCGTGTGTAAAAACGACAAGAATTTTTGCATAGACCCGGCGACTTTTCTTAGCGTGTACAAGCGCCCTTATTCATTTTCCGAATTATTCAATGATCTAATAATATCGCTCCAGTACTTGTTCAGATGTAAACCATACTTATCTATTTTAAGTTAATCTTGTGTTCCTCAGACAAATGAATGTACTCGTATTATTCTTATGGGAAATAAATTTCTCAAACCGAAAGTTTTATATCAAAGAGAACAATAGTGAAGATAACTTATGAATCTCAAGTTAAACACAATTTGCCGTAGAGATGCGGTGTAAGAATATCCATTACCCCATATCATCTCGTAAAACTGAAACTAAAACGGAAGAAGAAGATAGGCTGCAGCGTCTTCTTAATAATTAATCAATTGTTTTTACTTGGTGGAGCCTCGCTGCAGCTATATTATACTTGTAGCACGAATGGGCTTGACTGGGGAAGGACCACGCTCTCACAAAATACCAGCGTGAATAGCAATAGTGCTGCTGTGTTTCGTATGGTGAGCGTAGAGAACCACAAACCCTTTTTACTAAAAACGAGGCATTCCATATTAGTCCTCACGGGTGACAGGTGACAGCGTATCTGCGTTTTGATTCTTAATCGAGGACAGATGTAAATGTCTATGGGCCGCAGCATCCACTTACCATCAGGTGGACTGTGTGCTCGTTTGTCATCTGTAGCGGCGCTGTCGTCGCGCCACAAGCGAAATACACTGAAGCCTAAATCACGCTATCAACATTCCGAATCATAAACAGTATATATAGAACATCTCCAAACTATCACACGGAGCGTTGGCCGCTCCCCGGGCAGAACACCTTGCCCGGCGGGAGATCTCCCATTTTCCTTCCACGGCCACAGTGGTGACCCCGACGTGATCTGAACACGCAACCAACAACCTTCGGAAACTACAAGCTTCATCATCGTCATAGAATAACCCACCCATTCGCTCCCGAGCAGATATCGTCTGCAGTCTTCATATCCTGCAAGCCATCTAGCTTCACAAGGTTCATCGCAGCACTGGAATAATAATGCTTCCTGTTCCTTCAAGCTACTCTCTGCGCCATACAGTGTTCGGCACGGCTCTGAGCCTTACTGCTCGCCTCTGCTTCACGGCACTCTCGCAGATTACTTGCCTTCTTCTCGACTCACCGCAGACTACAAGGCAATCTCCTGGCACTTGCACATTCGTCGACAACGAGACTGCACTATCGACCTCCGGTCTGAGCAGGGGGGGTGATGTAGCGGCGCTGTCGTCGCTCCACAAGCGAAATACACTGAAGCCTAAATCACGCTATCAACATTCCGAATCATAAACAGTATATATAGAACATCTCCAAACTATCACACGGAGCGTTGGCCGCTCCCCGGGTTGCACACTGCCCGGCGGAAGATCTCCCATTTTCCTTCCACGGCCACACATCCTATCCTATTAAAAAAACCGCGATTTCCAACCCGCAACGAACCGTGGCAACAATGGCAAAATCCCCCCTTCGGGACAATATAGGGGGAGGGGGGGCTATGTCCAGCAGTGTAGTTTTTTTAAGATGCAACTGAACAACAGAATGGGCTTTTATAGCCCATTCTGTTCTTCATGCAATTTAATGTTTACTTAGTACACCGACTTAGTGGCAGCTCGGGGGCTAAGTGCTCGCTGTAAATTTCACAGTACGCGAGCAGCCAATGTTCGATCCCCGCCGGCACCAATGAAATTGTTAGTTGCAATTTAAGTGCTGATTTACCACGTGCTCGGCGGTGAAGGAAACCATCGTGGCAAACAAACAAACTGCATGTCTTATAGATAAGAAAAAAAAATATTCTCCAACACGCACAGGGGCAGTGCGTCAGACGTTTCCTTGTCCTAAAACCCTATCAGAAGTGAGATGAGGCCTGTGCCCAGCAGTGGGAAGTATATAGGCTATAACTTTACTTTACTTTTTGATAGAAATCCTTTGCTGCTTACAAATCCGTCTGGATATGTACAAGTGACAAAATAAAAAAAAAACAAAATAGCCTGTTACGAGGGCGGCACTGAAAAGTTCGGGAATCAAGGAAGTGACACAACGTTACTATTTAAAAATGTATTTATTTCTCTTCGTAGTATTCTCCGCGAAATTTGACACATTTTTCCATACGATGGAACCAATCATTGATGCAACTATTCCATTCGGAAGTTGTGGTCTCCAAAATGGCCGTTTTGAGGGCGTCCACAGCTTCTTCAGGTGATGACAATCTCTGTCCACGCAATTTATTCTTTATTTTAGGGAAAGTATAGAAATCATTAGGGCTTAGGTCGGGGCTGTACGGCGGATGGTCTAATAATTCTATGTTTTCTTGCTCTAAAAACTCTTTTGTTCTGTGTGCGGTGTGAGAACTCGCATTGTCGTGATAGGAGGATGATGCGGCGGTTGCATTTCTCTTTACGGAGTTCAGAAACGACCTGTGGCAAACAAATGCTAGCTTACCATTCTGCATTAACCGTTCTTTGTCCCTCAAGAGGAATAGTCGTAACATGGCCGGTTTTGGAGACAAACGTGGCCACCATTTTTTTTTGCAACACTCCGTGAACGAACAATTTTTGTTGGCTTTAACTCATTTTCGAACACCCAAACTCGTGACTGGTTTTTTGTTTCGGGTTCGTATACGCATATATCCAGGATTCGTCACCTAATATGATGTTGTATACAGCATTTGAGGGTCGTGCGTGGAATCTTTAGAGATTTCTGACGCACCAAGTAACGCGAGCCGCTTTTTACTCTTCACAGAGCGAATGCAGTATCCATCGGGAAAACAACTTTTTTACACCTAATTGTCCATGCAAGATTATTTGTATTTGACTCATGCCAATATCTAAAGTTACCTGAATTTCGCGGTATGTCACATGTCGATCTTCCTCAATAAGCTTACGCACAGCATCAACGTTTTCTTGGGTGACTGCAGTTTTTGGACGTCCTTGACGGGGATCATCACTGAGCTTGACACGTCCACGTTGAAATGCAGCAAACCAGCGATAAATTGTGGTTTTGGATGGGGATTCATCACCAAATGCAGAAATCTTCCGGTCAACACACTGTTTTTGTGTTAAACCACTTCGAAAGTCATAATAAATCATCGCTCTT